AAAGGAAGATTGCTCTTGTGGCTGCCGGAGCAGCATCTGGGATTGCTTCTGGTGTGTTAATAAAAATTTTCCATTTCTATTAAGATTTATTTTGCCCAAAATTTTGCTTGTTGATGAGAATGCCTTATCACTTCAGTTGTTCACATCAGTCCATGGGTTTATTATTATAATTCAATGTTATAGAATGGTGAACACTGTTTTTAAGTTTAACTGAACAGCTCAAAGTTATGCGGTGATCAGTCAAATTTGTTTAATTGGTCAATGGTCTTTTAGCTATATTTATGAGGTGTGCAGACTAGACATCTATGGAAAAATTGAAATCCATATATATACTGATATTCATGTGTTTTCATATTGTTAGTGCAGGTACTGTTTCTCTAGTCTGTTGTCTGGAAGAGTTTGGTCCTTTGTACTTAATTATGTATGTCAATGCTTGGGAAGGCAATTAAACAGGAACTAGTGTCTAAATATTCCATGGTATCATGTCATTTGAAGGGTGACCTGAGTGATGATGTGCTAGGGTGTGGTATAACTTATTTACTGAAGTCTCTTACAGACTACTTCCATTGGTTAAAGGAACTTTTCATCTCTAATAATACTCTATGTAATATGAAGCAAAGCTGGATTAATGACTTGGTCAAATTCTTTTATTTAGCAATCGAATCTCTAGTTTGTCATCTTCCACTCACCCCCACCTCCACCCCCAAAAATTTAATACATGACCCTCTAGAGCATGAAAATCCAAACTTCTCTAGACTTACTTCCATGTTTAGTTCTAGCTTTGATTGGCATAAGCTTTTAAGCTTCCTTCCGATCTATTAATTTCATTTAAGGCTATATACCATTTCTAGGTCGATTGATTAAATGAATCTTTTTCCCTTCTTTCCAGGTTTTAATGCTGCTGTTGCTGGTTGCTTCTTTGCTATAGAAACTGTATTAAGACCTCTACGTGCTGAAAACTCGCCTCCTTTTACAACTGCGATGATTATTTTGGCTTCTGTTATCTCATCTACTGTATCAAATGCTTTGCTTGGTACAGAATCAGCCTTCACCGTGCCATCATATGATTTGAAATCTGCTGCTGGTATTTCTCCTTCCTGCAAGGAGTTTCTTTTTATTTTCAGGATTGCAGCTTTTTTTTTTCTTGTATGTATTAGTGTATGTTTCCTGATGTAATTAAGTTTTATAGTCCTTTCAAAAGTAATTTGTTGTCTAACTGAGGAGATTGATGAATTTGTTGATCCGTTAATCATGAATTAAGGTGTGCTTCTTGTATGTGAATTGTTAATTGCAGCTACTTTATGTTTTGATTTCATTTCCTCGTTACAAATTTTTTTAATTAAAAAAAAATCAAAAAGCATATTTGCCTTCAAATATTTGACAGTGAATGGCCAATTTAGTGTGTAAATGTGTAATTTCACTGTGCATTATCATTTCCAAAGGCATAGACTTGTGGTTGTTTGGTTTTTTACCTGAATAGATAAAACGCGCTTCATGAGTTGTACTAGGAAAGTTATGATTACAAAGAACTCCATATATGGGAATAATATATTATGATATTAATTTTGCCTTGCAGAGCTACCTTTGTATCTGATCTTGGGGATGCTTTGTGGCGTTGTAAGTGTAGTCTTCACTCGCTTGGTTTCTTGGTTCACAGAAGCATTTGAGTATATCAAGGAGAAATTTGGACTTCCTACTGTAATCTGCCCTGCATTAGGTGGTTTAGGGGCTGGGATAATAGCTCTTAACTATCCTGGAATACTATACTGGGGCTTTACAAACGTCAACGAAATCCTACATACTGGGAAGTCTGCATCAGCTCCTGGAATCTGGTTGCTAACCCAACTAGCCGCGGCCAAAGTTGTCGCCACTGCTTTATGTAAGGGGTCTGGGCTTGTAGGTGGCCTTTATGCACCAAGTTTGATGATTGGTGCCGCTGTCGGTGCTGTATTTGGAGGCTCAGCTGCTCATCTTATTAATTCAGCTATTCCAGGCAATGCTGCCGTTGCACAACCACAAGCATATGCACTGGTAAACTTTTAACGGGGAGTTATTGCACAATTACTCTTGAGCTTGGAAAAATCCTGTTCAATTTTATCTAAGCTGATTTGAATACATTAAAGTTTCTACTGTAGGTTGGAATGGCTGCCACATTAGCTTCAGTTTGTTCAGTTCCCCTAACTTCAGTTCTGCTTCTTTTTGAGCTGACAAAAGATTACAGGATCTTACTTCCTCTTATGGTAATGTTTTATGCTATCTTGCTTGCTTTTTATATTTTCGGAATAAGCAATATAGAGAATAGGGGAATCCATGAATATAATTTTTACTATTATTTCATAGTCAGCCTAGTCATCTTTAGCGAAAAGAAAAAGTAAATAGGTTCAGTTTAACTGCAGTCCAGCTTTATTGGACTTCATTAGTTGTCTAAAAACGGAAACAAGTTATGCACTGATGCTAGTGGTTTAACTGAAATCTAAATCATGGCGTTCTTTGTTTTATGTTCTAATACAAGATTTCTTTACTAATTCATGTTTTGTTGGGATTAACTATTAACGCTTTAGGGCTTTGTGTTATTCTTGAGCAATTTCATTGGAGACATTGTCTAAATATTTACAACTTAATTTTTCTTCTTTTTCTATTTGGCATATAGGGGGCTGTTGGATTAGCAATATGGGTTCCTTCAGTGGCTAACCAGCACAAGGAGACTGAAGCATCTGATACGAGGCATTCAGCAAGAGGATATTCTTCTGTTTCCGCTGCTGAGGAACTCTCTGTCATAGAAAAGGCTATTGACCTAGAAGCACTAGACGAAGATATGCTTCTTGAAGATCTTAGGGTATAATTCTCTCTTATTTTGTTTTAGAGAAGTTTATTTATTTATTTTTTTCAAAATGATCAAGTTTCTGGTTTCAATTCATTGTTTGAGCTCCTCATTGGTATTCTCTTTGAGTTTCTCAACTTGACAAATTCCTTATTGTTTGTTGTCAGGTTTCTTGGGCCATGTCAAAGAATTTTTTGAAGGTGTCAATGGCTGTTACTGTAAAAGAAGCAATGAAAAGCATGCATGACGGTCATCAGAAATGTGCGGTTGTGGTTGATGAAGATGATTTTCTGGAGGGGATTCTTACATTCGGTGATATTAGACGGTGTCTGTCTAAGAAGCCTAGTGATGTCTCCAAGGGTGATTCAACAGCTCTGGATGTATGGGATGCAAACCTTCTCTCTATCTCTCTCTCTTGTTCGCTCACTCACTCTTTCATGTTTTGAATAACAAACAATTAAACCATGCATACAGGCAAATACATGTCTTGTTTCATCTGTCTGCACAAAAGGGATAAGCTACCGTGGGCAGGAGCGTGGAGTTCTAACCTGCTTTCCAGACACAGACTTGGCAATTGCCAGGGAGTTGATGGAGGCTAGTGGAGTAAAACAATTGCCGGTGGTGAAACGTGGTGGAGAGCCCCACAAAGGAAGGAAACGGAGAGTCCTTGCCATTCTTCATTATGACTCAATCTGGAACTGTCTCAGGTCCATATTTTAGCTTCAATCTGTTATACAATCTGTAGTAAATATAGAGACAAAAAAAAACTTGAATATGATTTTGATTTAAATGTTTATTGTGGTTGTGCATGCAATTGTCATGCAGAGAAGAGATAAATCACAGGAAGGCCATGTATCAGCATGTGCAGAGGAAGGATAAGCAAGGGGAGATTGCAAATGCCAACTGCAATTAATTAAAGCATCTGTATCTCTATCTTGGGCTGCTGCCTGCAAACCACATATATAGATAATAGAGCAACGTAGAAGCAAATTGTTTATGCCGTCTTTAGAATTATGATTGGAATTGGGTCTCCAAATCAGGCACTGAGTGGGGATATTAGGGAATGTTTTGCTGTGGGTCATTTGCTGTAATTTGCAGCCCAAAATATATACACGTAAAGTATTTATAAGTGCTTTGTAATTGGGCTCACAACAATCATGTGTATTTTGACCCATTCACATCACTGGATACGAAGAAATTCCATTGTTTTCTATTATCCAAGCCATTTAATCAAAAGTTAACACCTAGCCATATTTCCTTCATTTATTTTACCATATTGCAGATTGCTTCATTTTTATGGGTTAATTAAACCAATCTTAAATTATTGTTTATAATCTAAATTTATCTTTAAAACAAACTGATTGAGTCTTTAAAGTATCAATAGTAGGGATGATTGAAATATTTAAATCTGCATTCTGATTTGATCTGATCCAATAATATTAATTTTCTTCTAAAATCAGTTTTCGTGATTAATTTTAGACGGTAAATGTTATTTTGAATTCAAAAAATTAAATTATGGATATGTGGGTACTATATTAACAACTTAAATATCTGTTTAAAGTAACACATTATATTTGAACCAGTATTTAATGTCCAAACTAATAGTTAGGCTAACGAAAATACTTAAATGATAGTTTGAGAATTTAGTTAAAATGTTTGAAGATAAATCTAGGGTTAATTTTTTTATTATAGGTAAACTATCTATTTGTTCACCACCTATTATTTAGTTTATGTTTTAATCATCACTTATTACTTTTTTCAAAAATATACTTAACATTACATATCTATTTTGTTTTGGTCACCCATTGTTTAAAAGTTAATGGTAATGTTGATGTGATGTTTTTAATTTTTTTTAAATATTAATTTTTTAACGATTGATGACCAAAACAGAACCAAAACGTAATGTTAGATTTGATTTTAAAAAATTAATAGTTGAATGACCAAAATAAAAAACTAAGTAATAGATGGGTGACCAAATAGATAATTTACTCATATACATTTGGATCAAAAATAATAATTGAGTGATAAAAATAAAAAATTAAGTAATTATATATATATAGATCAGCATGGGCTGGGCTTAGTTCTCATTTATATTTTTAAGCCGAAGAGAGAGGAAGCCCATATGTCCAAATCCAAATCAATACTCCAACTATATAAAATAAAATAAAATTTCAGAGAAAGCAAAGCAAAGCATCGACGCAAACTGGGAAAATACAATCAAATTTGAAATCAAAGAATGGCGTCATCGTCGAGCAGCGGCCTAACCTTCAAGCTTCATCCGCTGGTAATCGTAAACATATCCGAGCACTACACTCGGGTCAAGTCTCAGATGAACCCTCATCCACTCACCTCCACCGTCAACGGCGTCGAAAACCAACAGCCAGCCCCTCGAGTCTACGGATGTGTCATAGGTGTCCAGAGGGGTCGCACCGTCGAGATCTTCAACAGCTTCGAGCTTCTCTACGATCCCTCCACCCACTCCCTCGACCGCTCCTTCCTCGAGAAGAAACAGGAGCTTTGTATGGCCAAGACTTTTTTTCGTTTTGTTTCTTCTTTTATTGGTTTTATAATTCCAATTTAAAATTTTTTCTTTTGAATTTATTTTCCAAGATAAGAAGGTTTTCCCCCATTTTTACATTCTTGGATGGTATTCCACTGGGAGCGATGCCCAGGAATCTGATATGCACATTCATAAAGCTGTATGTTTTCTTAACCTCCCCATCCTTTCACATTTATATAATATATATATATATATATATAAATATAATTACTAAGGAAAAGATGCATATTTGATTGTGTTGCTTATTGTTAATGTTTGATTGCTATGGTGAGTGATATGTTTTTCCGCTTCTATTTGAATCTTCTTTCTACCAAAGGAATTATATTATTGTAGTACTCGGTTGTCTCCTCTTTTCTTTGGCCAATGCGTTTGTTTAAGAATTTCTCCTTGTTCATTTGTTACAGTTGATGGATATTAATGAAAGCCCTCTCTATGTGCTTCTCAATCCTGCAATCAATCCCGCCCAAAAGGATCTTCCAGTCACCATTTATGAAAGTGGTTTGTAGCTGTTTAGTCTTTATTTCATTCTTTTATATTAATCAATATTTATCCTCTCATTGTCTCAGGATTTTTGCATCGAGGTATCCTATGTCCTATCATACGGAATTTTAAAGTTTAAAGTGTAGTTTTGTTATGATTGATTAGCTGTCTATCTAATTCGTTCCTTCATTATCATCAATACATTCTTTGTTTTGCAACATAAGATATACATTCTATATTTGCTAATTTAGTCCATGTGTTAACTTTTCTTTATTTAAAGAAACTCTCTTGGAATGATTTCTGACAGGGACACAAACTGAAAATCTTCTGCAGTTTTAGGTAGTTTTAATACCCTTTAGTACAGTTCCTAATTATTCTTTGGTAATGACATTTTTATTCATCTTCTTGATCATGTCAACATAAAAGAACTGCACGTTATAGATGGGATTCCACAACTTATTTTTGTCCGATCAAGCTACACAATTGAGGTTCATACTCATGCTTCCGAAATTTCCATTCTTTTCTATACAGTTTAATTTTCACCAAATGGAATTGCTGAGATTGTTTCTCCTTTTTTCTTTTTATTATGGGGGTGTGGGGGTGGTAAAGACTGTTGAAGCTGAGAGGATTTCAGTGGATCATGTTGCCCACCTAAAGCCATCTGATGGAGGTTCAGCAGCAACTCAATGTAAGCCCACATTCTTCTTTTTCTTCTTGGGATTTCTGTGGAAATTCATAATCCTCCTTGATGGAAGCCTTTTTTACTTTTCTGTAATTGATGATTACAAGTGAACTCTTTGTATTTGTGATGCAGTGGCTGCTCATCTTACTGGTATTCACAGTGCAACCAAGATGTTGAATAGCAGAATTAGGGTGCTTCATCACTATCTTGTTGGAATGCAAAAAGGTATGAGTCCATTCCTTCTGAATGTAATTCAAATTAAATTTATTATAATGCATGTGAATTTTCGGGGTCATTGATAAATACCTATATTTGTAGTGTAGAGTGTGGATAAATGTTTCAGACATGGAGAATACTTCAAAGTAAATTATAATTTTCAATTTCCATAATAAATTAAGACTAAATTTGAGAAATTGTTATGGATGTAAAAAGTTATAAACGCTACCATCTTTAATTGTTTTTATGACTTTTTATCACACATTTCCCATTTCTTATTGGATGTTGTATATATTACTTGCATTGGATAAGCTGAAAAAAATTGACTATTATTATTTGGGCTATTGTGGATTACATGGCCATGAATTAGTTCTAATATGTTCTCCATTTCAGGTGATATTCCTTGCGAAAATTCACTATTAAGGCAAGTATCAAGCCTCCTCAGAAGGTTACCTGCCATCGAATCAGAAAAATTTCAAGATGACTTTCTGATGGTGAGCTCTTCTTCTTGACCACAAGAAAGTTGTGATTTTTTCTGTTCTTGTGAGGATTTGGTTTTTGTATCATACTTTTCTTTGATACAATCAAAAGTGTGGTATCTTAAAATGATCAATCATACCCTCAAATTGTTACCCCCAGAGTACCATTTCTTGCAGCTACCTAAGTTCTGTTAACGGAAAGATTTGAAAACCCAACCTACCTGTAGAAAGTTGGTAGAACATTCTATCATGGTTTCGTAATAGGATCTTCTAAAACTTTTGTGATTTCATTGTAGCTTGTTAGAAGACCTGAAGAAGATGTTTGTTGCATGTTAATTGTCCTGATGCAATGGTGAAAATAGAAAGATATTTGTCGTTCTAGTTAGCAAGTTTGATGGAAATAAGACCGGTGTAGATCTTTAGTCTGAAGTACAGTTCAAAATTCGCATATTCTACATACATGCATTGGTACTTGTATAATTATTGCCTGCTTCAAAGCATTTCTTTTCTTTTGGATTTATCAATCCTCTTTTTGAGGATTTGCCTGTCAATTATTTAATCTGCCGAAACTTTTCTTTTTGAAATTATTCACAGGAATACAATGATACCTTGTTGATTACTTATCTTGCGATGTTCACTAACTGCTCAAGGTAAGGGTTACGTTCATGTTCCATCTTTGGCTAAATGATTTGTTATTATTATTATTATCATGGTGATGATATTTGCTTTGCAGCACAATGAACGAGCTAGTCGACAAATTCAACACTGCTTACGATAGGCATAGTCGAAGGGGTGGACGGACAGCTTTCATCTAAATACTGTTATTGTTTATTAATAGGTTGGATTTTCGTTGGAGAGGATGGTGGTGGTGTTTGTGTTTGCGGTGTTTTAAAGCCTCTCGAGTAATGTAATTTAATTAAGTACTACTAATATGATACGAGTAGGGATGTTTCAAATTCCAAGAGATGAATGAAGTGCTTTGCCTTACCTGCATATTTTACCATTTATGAAACTACATCTTTGACAACAAAAAAAACACATATTCAGAACTTTTTTATACAATAAGTTTAGGTGAAAGTACCTGTCAGGTCCCTCTATTTTAGGGATTATAACAATTTAGTCCCTCTATTATAGAGACTGGTTTAAATTAGTTCACTAAATTATCTAAATCTTGTCATTTTCTAATTAGCCGTCGCCAACTTAGGTTGTAATAATTTAACAACAGAATGTGAGTGAAAGTGAAACGAAACACTAGCTATTATTGCAAGCGGATGGGACAAAACCTAAATTTTTCCCTTCCAAATCATATTCCCACAAATAGTTTTGTTGCATAATATTTCCAATAATAGAAGATTCAGAAAACCCTGCAGGCGAAAACCCAAGGCACCTAATTCCACCACCAGCATCAATGATATAGCTATTCCAGTGTGGCTCAAACCGAGCTCCATCGACGAAGTGAATGATCAACTTCGGCACCAAAGTCTAATCGAAGCCGGCAGTAGCGTTGAAGCAATAGTCCATTGGTATTGTATCCAACTTCACCCGTTGGTACTTCGAAACTGACTTCGTAAGAACTTCCATTACCTCTTAGCACGCGGGATCTGCTAGCCTCACCATGCTGGTGCCAGAATCGATGATCGTTCCACCGCCTTGTGTCGTGTCCCACACTTCCATAGGTATCTCCTACATTTTGCCACCGATGGAGATCCCCATAACATTTACTGCATAAAATGAAGGGATGACATCGAGTTCGAGCCTGGTATAACGAGCGTTGCCCGACACTTTCACTTGGTTTCAACTTTTACCGAAGTTGAGGTAATTGGTGACATTTAAGTGGCTGAGATGATCAACCAGGCAATAGGAAAATCTCGCACCAAATTTTTCTGCAGCATTGTGAAAGAATACTTTGTATTGGATAACCCCAAGATACCATCGATGTGGTTAACTGAGGTTTTGTAGAGTTAGTGCACCCAATTACCACATTACGGAGCCTCGTTTTTCTACCATTGGTAAGACCAACAGTGTGATGGTCTCAATCGCTAGGACTCCCGCTGGTTCTGAACCATCTATATAGCTGTTCCAAGACATGTTGGAGAAAAAAATCGACAAAATTGGATATCAATTTGAATCGTAATGATTTTTCAAATAAAAGCATAATAACATTGACGACAGAAATAAATTTGAGGTTTTTTTTTTTATTTTTACAATTCGTTCTTTTTGATTGGGGTGGAGAATGATGGTAAGTTATTAGAAAAAAGGGTTAAAAAATATAAACAGTGGGAAAGAGTTTTTGACCTTTCTCCCATCAACTTTGTTTGTACGGGGAAGTACCTCTCTAACACCAGATAATACCGTGGTTAGTGTCAATAATAGGGTTGCTGGCTATTGATGAGTTGATAGGTGAGTAGATCCAAATATAGATAATAGGTTTAATAGTAGTCATATCAAATGACTCTAGATAAGAAAAACTCAAATTGATCCGAACAAAAATGTTTTCTAAATCAAAGCAAACAGAGTTGGTCAGTACCACTGGTAATTACTGGCTTTCACAGAAGCAAGCCCCTTCCAGGACTTGAATGCCCTGTTTTGGTACCAATCTATTTAGAGTCATGTGAACATTACCTACTAATAATAACTACCACTAAGTGTAGGATGTAGTTAAGAAGGCAACATGGATTATTGCATCTGCAGCCGGCCGGCCAGCCTCATCTGTTAACTCTACCATTCACCATTTATTCTCGGATCTATACATTATCTATCTATCTATATATATTATGTCCGCAATTACCATAAATGTATTTCAGCTAGAAACGTGCTTGAAGATCTAACTCTCCCATTCAATATGGGTGGGGTTTAGCCTTGTCTAATGCGGCTTGGTGCTATGCATTTAAAGCCAAACTACAAAAGAAGCAGTGAACCTTAAATGCAACAGCATTTACCTTCAAGATCCCTACTTTATAAATGCACTTGTCGACCATTTTAGGCTTTGGTTTTGTACAAACAGGATACAAACCAGACACTTGTAGTGTCCAGAAGTTATACTTGTACGACACTCAGACCGAAATATCAGGTAAATTGTTACCAAAGATGGATGTAAGATTTTTTGTTAGATGAATTTTAGAGAACGAAAATAAATTATAAATAAAAATAATTAAATTATACGATAATGTAAAATTTTAAGAAGGAGAACCACCCGTTAGCCCTCTAGGTCGATCAGTGATTGTTATTGACAATGGAATCTTAATGTGTCATGGTAATGAATCTAGTTTAAGACTAGAGACTATTAGGTACCTGTAAGAATAGGCACAAGGAGTGAGTGGCGTAGGGCATGCTGTGATAGTGAAGGAGTTCACAACATCACACACCTCTGAGGCGCAAGGGACCGGACTAAAGGAAGAAGATGAAGGAGCATGTAACACCCTATTTCCATTTATCCTCCCCTTTCTGGTACAATCACCACCACGTCGCGAACATCCATATTGACAACGGACCCACGTCAAATCGCTCCCCGTGTCGACGACCAAACGGAACTTCTGCGACGGAGTCCCGATGTTCAGCGTCGTAAAATACTCTGCTATCGCGTAATCTACAGCTGAGGCGACCGGCATTTCGATGGAAGCCGGGCGCGAGACGGCTTCTCCAGATCGTCTGTGGGAGGTGATACTGTGGCGGATAATGTCATGGTGGAGAAGGACCTTGAGGCGTTCGTGCCGAGTTTTAAGCCCGTTGTTGGTGAGCCGAAGAGCGTGCCTGTGGACTAACTCTAATGTGAAGGAATCGGAATTGTGGTTTTGCAGCATTTTCTCGACATGTTGCTGAGCTTCAACAATGGAGAAGAAGACGATCAAGGGGAGCAAAATCACAAGTTTCCCCTCCATAAGTTTATGCCGACTGAGAAACGAAACAAGGAGAGGTCGAGAGAGAAAGGGAAATAAAATTATAAACAAAGGTCATTTTGGTTGATGTCTATACAAATCAAAACGTGTATATATATTTATACACTACAGAAAAACTTATAGATATGAATCTATGGTTTAAATCCGGCATTAGTATACTGATCAGGTTGTACTTGCTTCTTGTAATAAATAATACTTCATAAAAAAACCGACATAAAAATTTAAAAAAAATCTAAAAAATCTAAAAATTTTAAATTAAAAAAAACGACTATCCCATCCACCTATTCGGTCCATCTCAATACATATATTGCTTGAAGCCTTCAACCACACACACATCCCATCCCACTTTTCGTCTGGTGTGTGAATTTTCTTCAAATTAATAACTGTTATATTCTCACTTCTCTAATTTATTATTGGCTGGATGCCCCAAATTTCAACCTCTTAGTGTCTATAGGGTAAACTATGTATTTAGTCACTTATTTATTTATGTAATTTTATTTTGATCATTCGATAATTTTTTAATCAAAATCATACTTAATGTTATGTTTTAGTTCTGTTTTGTTCATATACGGTTAAAAAATTAACAGTGATCTTGATGTGTCAACATAAGATAATGTCATATCATCATTGAATTTTTTTTAAAAAGTTACCATATCAATAATTATGTTTAATTAAATATGATTTTGAAAAGAAAGTAGTTGTGTGACCAAAATGGAAACGCGAGAATAGGTGAATAACTAAATACGTAGTTTACCCTTATTTATATTATACTATAATACGGATCTCTATATTCATTTTAAAATAAAATATATTTTTTAGAAATTAAATTTTGTTAATTGTGGTTGACCTTACCTTATATGTGTGAATCTAGAATTGTAAATCAGATTGTGGAACGGAAGAAATAGTAGGGGGAATTTATCAGAATTCAGAATTATAAAAATAAGATTTTAAATAAATAAATAAAATAGACTGAAAATTCAGTAATGCGGCGGACTTTGTGAACGCATCAAGCTGGCTCCACGTAGGCAGGGTTGTAAAAAGTTGACCCGACCTGTAAAGTTGATTGAATTGATTCGAGTAAAAATTATTTTTGATCTACACTATGACGATCCGAAACAGACTTGAGTCGGAATTGGTGTTGACCTGAACTCGATTTGGACCTGGAAATTGTGGATCTGAACCCGACCTGCATCCGACCTAAACCCGAATTGAACCGAAAATATGATACCTGAACCCGAACTGCATCCGAATGATATGAACCCGAACCCGAGATTGACCTGGTAAATAACTGGTATTACCCAGCCTGTTTTCAACATGATCTGTTTTTAACCTGACCTGTAAATGATCCGACTTGTTAATGATCTGATCTGATATTTACCTGACTTATATATATTACCATGGAAATCTTATAAATTATTAATTTTTTAGCTTATGATGAAATTAAAATATTAATATGATTAATTTTTAAATGTTATAATAAAATATTTATTATGATACTTATATTAATAAATAGACCTATTATATAAAATTATTTAATAAAATTAATAAAATTATTTAAATGTAAATTAGATAAAACATTATTAATAATGCAAAGAAAAATTAATATAGTTTAATTTATATAAATTATATAGTTTAATTTATATAAAGAAAAAATAATATTAATAATAAAAGTATTTATTATGTAACATATATTAATGGTTTACATTAATAATATGAATAATTTTGGTAATAAAATAATAATTAAATTGATAATAACTGAATGTTAGTATTAAACGTGATTAATTCTCTAAAATATAAACATAAACTATACCATTTATTTTTTGTACAAAAAATTATCTAACAATTATAACATAAATGAAAAATAATATAAAATATAAATTTAATTGATAATGATAATTTAAATAACATTTAATATAAAATTTGAATTACATTTGAATCAATTCAAGTTCAATACAATAAAATGAAAAAAAAAAATAAAAAAATTTTAAGCTCTCAGATCTTATAACAAAAATGTTATAAGGCTAAAATCCTAACTTTGCTACCAGAGATTTCTTCATCGAGCTTTTATATCGAAATAGCTGCCAACATTGT